ACACCTCACTGTTGTCAATTCAATAATTTTCGGTGCCACAAGGGCAGCAGGTTTATTTCACATAACAGCAGAAACACAATCAAGCTGTGGCAACATCAAGCAAAAATTTCTAACATGGGATCAATAACCAGTATCAGTAAGAGCAGCAGTACCATTAAAATCAGCAATGTAATCAAGTCCATGGAGCTGGATTATTCTTTTTTAATGGCATTCAAGAAACAGAGGACATCCACATACCTCCTACGTTACTATATTAGAAAAAAGTTGAAGAAAGAAAATGAGCTTTTTTGTTTTACTTGTGGAATAAATGTGTTTGCTTTGTTTTAATTTTTACTATTCTTTGTTTTGTTGATGTGGAAAGTGTGAATGATGTCAACTGCAATACTGGGAAATTAAAATATATTCCTACATATACAAAGGCTGACCTATGACAACTTGGTAGAGCTCCTGAGCTGTCAGTGTCCTGGTGCAGTCTGCCACCTCCTGGCTGGAAGAGGGAACTGCATGCATCACCAATGAAGCCTGCAACAAAGTATGGAAACAAAAAGAAAAAAAAACTCTTACATTTTTCAGTGAAACGACAAATGTAAATGCTTAACTTTAAATTTAAGCTGTTCTGATCTTACCCGACTGCTGGAAGTCGGGTTTTGGGGGCCGCTGCTTTTGGTTCCCGGGGAATTATAGCTGTGCTTGACCTTGGTCTCTGAGATCTCACTGCTCTCCAGGTCGCTGATACAGAGTGTCGGAGGAACAAGCCCCTGAGAAGGAACAATTCCAATGTCCACATCGTCCTTCATCTTTTCTTGCTGTCTGAAAACACCAATCAACACAGGCCAACATTTAGGATACATGTTCATCAAACATTCACTCCCACCAGTCAGATGGGTCCTCCCTGAGCCCGGTTCTGCTGGAGGTTTGCTCAGAGGAATCCAAAGGCTACTTTGGATTGTTGGGTTCTCTGTTTAAATTTATAACGTCTATACCTGACTTTGTTGAGCACTGTGTGATAACGTGTGCTGTTAACTGTGCTAAACAAATAAAACTGAATCGAACTGAATTGAATAAATGCAAAGTTCTTGTTTATTTTAACAATTTAACACAGAATAGTTTTGCTGGAGCTGATGTATTCCTCACGTTTGTCCACTAGATGATTGTATTGTAAGATTTAAAAAAGAAGAAGAAGAAGAAAAATGACAAAATATAAGCCTGAGATGGGCTTTTGGTCAGCAGTTATGATGCTGATTAGAAAACCGACCTCTCGTTGATCCTCTGTAGTCGTGTTTGTCTGAGCTGTTTGATGAAGTCTGCGTAAATCTGTCGATGCCGCTGTCGTTGCTCTTCCTCTTCCTTGGTGAAAGCATAGTCGGTGTCTACATAGCTGTAGCGGGGTACACCAGTGAAGATGGTCCTAAGGAGGACACAAACAGGAAACATAGACAGACAGTGCATCTTTTAATTCCAGCAGCAACTGTGCAATTTCAAAACATAAAAACTAATCGGCTATAACAATATGTCAACATTTTTAGTTTTCTTTTTATTTAATTTTTTTCGGTGGTTAGTGTGATGGTTTCGTATTTTCTTAGGTCTGGGTTTGGTGGCTCGTTGTTTAAAAGACGCTCAATCCATTGTGCTTTTGATCTTTTGCCAGTTTTATGGTCATAACTCTGGAAAAAAAGTGTATGTATGTGTATTGTGTATATGGCATCAAAACCCATGAATACAGTCACATCTGTGTTTATCACAATGTCAGTGATGTGACCATGAAGACGACACAGTTAAAATCTAGTCAATCAGTCAATCTCTGTCCAATATGTTGATTCCATATTTTCAGAGGGATTTGTTGTTGTTTGATGTCAAAGACAATTCAACTGGCACATTGGAATCTGCACAGATGCTGTGACAGTGTGTTTCTGTGACCTTTACCTGTACTGTCTGTGTGAAGAGGCAGGCCTGATGCTCGCAGCTCTGTCATTAGGAAAGGCCAGGAACTCCTCCTCCTCCGTGTTCTGACTCCTGTCCCTGTGATGCTCATGGAGCCCTGTTTTGTCAGCACTGAGGATAGCAACATGTGCTGTTTCACGATAGCGAGTCAGATCACTGCACCGAACCTCAGGCCATGATCCAATTGGATCGGTCACTGTTGTAGTGATGTATGAGGGGAGGCCAATCAGAACAGGACAGAAAGCAACATCAGAATCATGAAAACTGAACAGGGTGAGCATATTTTCTCTCTGAATAATTACAGCAATTTAAGGGCCACACACATGCATTATGCATTGTGCTACAGCGACACTACACAAATACAGAACATTTGTTTGCAGTCTATAACCTGCTGCTTAGCCTTCATAAGGAATAGTTTTCAATTGTTAATACTGACCAGGATTTAGTTTAGTCACTGGGTGTGTTGTCTCACTGTGGCAGGAGGCAGACAAGTGCAGGCTGATGGTGTGGAAGCTGCAAAGCTCAAGTTCAGTTCTATGGTCAGCCTTCTGACAAGCAACTAGACCTACAGCATCGAGCTTCTGCTGCACCTGGAAGCGCCCTTGCTGGTGTGCATTGAAAGAAAAAACTACATCCTGGGAAACACAACAGAGAGAAAAAAGTTCCCACATGTCTTGGTTTTATAAATGATTGATAGAATCTGTCATCATCCTAACCTGGCACTGCCCAGGGCCAATGGTGCCAGTAGAGGGCTTGGTGGTGAAGTGTGCCAGTTTGTGGAAGCGGAAGTTGACCGGAAGTTGAGGGCAGAGGTTCTGGAGCACACACAGAAGGTCCACGCGTTGGCCCGTCACACAGCTGGGGAAGTCGAATCTGTGAGAGGGACGAGGCACCAAAGACACCGGAAGTCCAGAGCCTGTCACTGCGAGCTCCACACTGCTGCTAGCTAGAGAGGCAAAGGGAGCCGAATTACTATCGCAGCTGTAATCATGAATTCATCAACTAATAATCAGCTTATGAAAGCAGTATATAAAACAAAGTCATGCGAGTCACAGTACTGCCTCTGAACAGTGTCTCCTGTCCTCGTGTGTTTGTGAGTACCATTACGGTGAGTGAAGCCGTGGTTACTCGTCACGGACTCAAACAGCAGGAAGAGGCTGTAGTCTTGCCGGCTGACCGTGGAGCCGCGTCTCTTCCCTTCAGCCGAACTGTGAACAGAACCGGTTCAGAATATTAAAGAACATTAGTCCATATCTCTACTGTCTCACCATCATCTCCTCGTTAGTATAGTGGTAAGTATCCCCGCCTGTCACGCGGGAGACCGGGGTTCGATTCCCCGACGGGGAGGAACGGTATTTTTTCCCGCATTTATTTCTTATTAACATCTTTACAGTAAAACGACTTTTTTTCAATAAAAGTTATTGTTATATCGATGTAAATACTAGTGGGTACTACTAGAGATACTCCTTGTTCTACTACATGTTCACAGACTATGTACCCTTTGCAGACGGGGCTGAAGCGCACTGCCACTGTGGTTTCTTCATATGGACCCAGTCGGCCTTGTTTAGGTGCACACACCAAGACCTGAGAGACCTCCTGGATGACTGGGCTGCACCTCTCCCTTCTATCCAGCAAGGCGGCATCTGTGCTCTTCTGGATGTTTGTTCCCTACAAAGTCATCATAATCAAGACATTGGCTTTTTTTCTTTTTCTTGTTTAGTGGCTTCTGTTCATCCTCCAACAAAAGAGCTGTGCAGATGGACAGTTGCAGACTTGCTTTCTAGAAGAATCACTCACCGCCTCAGTGCCAGCAGCAGTGCCCTGGAGCAGACAGACCCAGTCACAGGCCTGAGGTGCGTTGTTTCTCAGAACCACATTCTTCACACAGGATGTCCCAAAGTAGGCCGGTCCAAACCACAGACAAGACAGCGGAGCTCCCTGTAAGATGACACAATGCGCCATATTAACAGGAACACCATGAAAACAATATGGCGCCAAATTAGCTACAATATGAAATGTAATTGTAGATGTACCTGCAGGTCAAAGACCTCCAAGTGTTGGTCCACCACTTCAGCCCTGATGCTGAGAACAACAGCAGACTGATTCTGGAGCTTCACCCTGGCACGGACAAAACAAAAAGTACAGGACTGGTAATCAATACCTTAAAACAGCAAAAACAATCATCACTGAGACACACATCATATTTACTCTGCGACAAAATAGTAAATCCTTAAAGCTTAAGTTTTATTTTAAAAATATACAAGATTTGACATCCAGTGGCCGGTCCCTTCAACAGAAGCTACCAGGCCGTCAGGTATCTGTGTTTATGGGTTGTCATACAGAGCCTTCTCCTCCATGTGCCGGGGTCTGTCTGTGCGCAGTTCTACTTTGAGCCACTGGGTGGTGCCAGCTGCTACGACGCCACTGGAGGGTGAGAGGCTGAGGCAGGAGTCCCCACAGTAATGCACCTGGAACACACCTTCAATAAAAACACACACACACACACATAAATGCATGCATTCTGCTGCACTGCACAGACCCTCTGGCTTCAGTCTGAACCAGCAGCTTCTCTCCACACAGTCACTGCTGACAGAACAAAGCTGTGCTTCAGCAGCCACTTACCACAGCAAAGCTGTTGCTCAGGATATTTAAAAATATACACTTTTTACTAAATATAAAGCAATTAAATGATTAAGCATTTTTAGTAAAACATGAAAGCTGCAGTGTGACGTTATTTGAAAAACCGTTTGATGATTGTAGATTTTATTTAGCAGCGATGATTTTCACTTGATCACAGAGTCCAGATTTTACTAGATCAATACAAGCAGGACAGCTGAAGTGGCAGCGATCCACTGCTCGGTTTACCTGGTGCTGATCCTTGATTGGTTATCGGATGATGTTTGCTGAGCACCTGACTGCTGGCGACAACACAGCCAAAGTCTAACAATGAGTCCATGAAGAGGGAACAGGTCCTGGGAGACCTGGAGCAGCAGAGACAGTGTCAGCGTGCTCAGTGTCACACATGAGTGTGAACAACAACAACTATCTTTATTCATGCATCATATCCCATCACATGCTCACCCTAGCAGTGGGACTTTTATCATGTCCATATCATCGATGTGAACCAGAAGCCAGTCTCTGACCTCCTTCTCTTCCTCTGGAGTGAACTCTATCACGCCCCCTACAGACAGACCAGGAGCCACCACCTCAGCCTGACCAGATGCTGTGAACCTGAACAGCTGCAGGACAAAGGAGACAGAAGAAGGTTTCAACCTCATGCAAAGGAAGGTTTTGATTCAAACAGACAGCATTTAGGCTCTGGCATGCTGTACGAACATTCTGAGGAGCCCCAAGAGCAAAAAGCTGCTGGACTACATGTGACCACATCAATACACTGAGACAGGGATCTCCAGCTCTGGTCCTCGTCAGCTGCTGTCCTGCAGGTTTTAGATGTTTCTGCAACACACCTGACTCACATGAATGGATCTCCAGCAGCTTGTTGTCCAGTTCTACACAAGTCTGTTGATGATCCATTAATGTGAGTCAGGTGTGTTGGAAACATCTAAAACCTGCAGGACAGCAGCTCACGAGGACCAGAGCTGGAGATCCCTGAAGAAACATCTAGAACCAGCCACAGCCTGGAGTCCGCTCACATTCTTCTTGCTCAGTGACTTTTTTTTTCCCGACAAAAGTCTCAGCTTCAGTATTCATGACTGCAAATGTGTTACATTTTTGACTGTTAGAAAAAAAAACTAAAACTAAAAGTGTTTTTCATTTTTCTGTCAAAAAAAAAAAAAGTCAAAGTGGTTGAAAGTGAAAATAATCACGTTTCAGACGTTCATACTTCGTCTAATTGCTGAAAACACCTCAGGTACCTTAGAGGAGGGCTTCTCCCAAACCACTTTCTTGGAGGTTCTTCCAGCGTTGCTCGCCGTCACCCTGATCTTGTAAACTTGTCCCACTTGGACGTCGTTAAACTCGACGGCCGGCGGCTCCACTCGGACGCAGCTTGCTGCCATCACAGCGCTTCACAGGTAAAGAGGACCGCAGGTCGCTTCTTCCTCTCATAACCAGCCTTCACTGTTTATCTGCCACTTGTTGCTGACTTACATACCGACAGTTGACTCGACCGTTGCTGCCCAGGCGTCCGTATTGACAGCTCAGGTGGTTTCTAGGCAACGACTCCCGGAGCTGCGCTCGTTTTACACACTTGGGCAGTCAAGATGGGCGGAGCTACTGCAATCAACGTCATACAAACCATGGTTTCTTGCCTATTGCAGTGGAATTTTATGCTTCAGTGGCATGGATAATAAAGTGGAAGAAGGTTTAGTTAGTTAGTTAGTTTGTTTTTAACAAAGAGGGGATTTTCCCAACTTATCTCCGCTACCTTCTCTGTTCTCAGACATCATGGAGCACACGTTGCTGCACAGGTGGATAAATCAATGTAAAAGCTCACTTATTGATAGAATACAACTGACCAGAACTACACGTAGCCAAATACAAACACAGTGGACATGCAGAGTTTCCTCCAGCAGGGGGCAGCAGGCTCTCCGGGAGCCATGGCGACTTAAACAAATGACACTTGACTGTAGATTTTACTTTTACAACCCATTTATTGAATGTCCAGCTGAAAATGGCTTTTTAAGGCTGAATGTAAATTTAAATATAAAATAAAATAAAATGTAATTAAATAAATAAAAAGTAAAACCATAAATAGTAATGTCTTGATGGGGCTGTAGAATCAGTGGCAAAGTTTGCAGCCAGGCTCAGAACCATGAATGTTTCTGGGTTTTCTATAGAAGAGCTCTGAGGCTCTGTTGGAGGGAAATTGTGTGAGAGGCTCAGCAGCATCCAGGCTGCAGCTGATCCCCTGCAGCCTGGTTCAGGACATTCCTATAGGGACAGAGCACAGTGGCATTATGGATCACTGCTCTTACAATGGAAATATACTGAATTTATGTATTATTTTATTTTTTATTTATTTAACAGACATATTGACATGTATACTATGCAAAAAAAATAAGAAAGGGAAAAAAGGTTCATGGACACTCCCCATTATCAGTGTTGTAGAGCCATGAGTGGAACCGGCTGTTTCTTTCAGCCCATGTAGGGTCCCATCCTGAAGCCTGAGCTCCCCTTTAGGTTCTCCTCCTCTACTCTCATCTCTCTCCTGCTCCTCCACTCGGCTCTCCTCCACTTTGCTCCACAGCCCCTCCCTGTCTGATGTTACTGGTCTGATACGTTCAACATTAACGTTACATCATTTACACTCACATCACATCTGATCACAGTGTGATCACTATTATTTACCTGAACATCATCATTTATGAGTCAGTAAAAGGCTAATGCTACCTGGCTAGCGTCATCTCCATCAGGTGTCTTTCTCTTCTCAGAGAAATATGTGAACAGCTTCATCTGAAGATGCAGTCAGCAGGTCCATCATGGCGTCTACATGTTAGCTTCATGCTATCAGTCACTTTACTCACGTTAGCCACACTGAGTTGGCCCCG